CCCCAAAAACCCCAAAACCCCAAAACCCCAAAACCCCAAGATGATAAGATCATGTTGAAAATAAAATACATCCGGTTAGAAAGAGTATTTGAGGAGGTTTTTAGCACAGTTCCTTCCTGGAGCTCCTGAGACTCCTCCTCCTGGGTGATTCGAAGCTCCACATGACCATAATCCTCCAATTGGTCCTTTATAATCAGAGTAGTTAGGCATTGGACGACTAAAGAACATGCTGTTTAAGTCCATGGCTCCATGATAGAGATTGCCACCAGTCATACCTAGTAAATTCTCAAGATCTTCTGGGAACAAAACGTCCTGGAACTCAATTGAATTTGAGAAATTTGGTGCGTACTCATCTACCACTTTATACGTGTTTTGAATGAAAATATTTCTATTCTTTTCGTCCCATTCTCTACCTCCACTTAAGTATTTTGGAGCGTATTGGACAAATAAATTTGCGACTAATTTTTCCGATCCTTCCGGAACTAGTGTAGGGTCTAAGAAAGATGGAATTGCCATTTCAATAATCGGACGAGAGCATATCTCTCCTCTACTGCTCTCCTTATACGCAGTGTGGATAGTATCCATGTCTTCACAGTTGATATGGATACTTCCTTTGAGATAATGCTCAAATTTACTTTTCTTTTCATGAAATGTTTCATTATCGTCCCACAAATGTTCTAGTCACCTAAATTTTGGAATTTCGTTGAGAATTAAATTATATTTAACCTGGACCGCATCATAGTTTATGCTCTTGAGCCCTCGCCTAAACTCATCAGGGAGGATATCTTGGTTATCTAATAATTTATCATACACAATGTGATTAGTACAGTTTGTGATGATAGTGTCGCACTTGATGGTCTGTCCATTCCAGAGATTAACTCCAGTTACTTTGTTCGTTTTGGAATCAGTCATGATGTGTTGGACTCCAGAGTTTATAGCAACATCTACGCCTCTTTTGATGGCAAGGGACGTAAGGTAGTTCGAGATAGCTCCCATTCCTCCTTGGACATATGCCCATTCTCCTTTCCCATGGATCTCTCCCATGACGTCGTGGATCAGGACCAATGAACTATTTGGGGAATGTGGGCTTTGATTAGCACCAGTGCAAGCATCACTAGCAAACGTTCCCTTAATAATATCAGACTCGAAATATTTATCCAAGATCACTGAGGCTGGAGCAGTCATCATATGGAACAGTTCAGATAGAGAACTCTGAACTCTCGTCCTTGTGGTGATAAAGCTACTTATCGCATTCATTGCTGAAAAGGATGGTTCAGAATCAATATAAGGATTAACTATCTCAACTATTTCCTCTAATTTCTCTTCAAACTCAAGGAATGACTTCTTATCCTTCTCTGAGAATTTGCCGATCTCCTGGAGGTTGCTCTCTTCGTCAGAGTTGAGCATTAGATATGTTCTCAGATCATGAGTCGGTGTAAAACTAGCATTATCATGAGGGTATAATTTTAGCTTGTCTTTCCAGTCTTTCTCAAAGATCTCGTCAACTACTACTTTCCGAAGAAGTGAGAGAACGTAAGAAAATCTCGAGAATTTAAACCCAGGAACTAGCTCTTCACTTGAAGCAGCACCTCCTAAGATGTCTCTTTGCTCAAGGACGAGTACTTTCTTCTTTTTAGAGAGGTAATTTGAGCAGACCAGACCATTATGTCCACCTCCAATAATGATCGCGTCGTATTTCTTTGTAGTAAAATCATGAGTATTTCCATCCAGAACGCCAGCAGGAGTCTTAGTAAAGTCATTCTGGTTGCTAAAGCATCTTTTGTAGCATCCAAAAATAGTCAAATTCTTAAAACATGGCCTTGTGTTTTTACTGTTAAACACTCTTAAACTCAGACTTTGCATCCTAAGATTGAATATATCTACGGTATTAAAACTTATAATTATCTGTCAACCTAAAATAGTGTTTCAGGGGTTTTGGGGTTTTGGGGTTTTGGGG